GCTAGATAGAACAATAGATATAGTAATAAAAAAATAATCAGAGAGAATGACTGACAGACAGACAGACAGACAGACAGACGTTTTGTGTCTTTATTACCGTATTGGCTCGGGTTCCATGACACAGTAATGGCATCATATGTTGGTTCTTCACTGGCTTCAAATTCAATCTGAATATTGCGCGGTGCGTGAACATAATGTTGGCAAACCTCTGGGGTTTCCTGACCTAGAAAAGAGTGACAAGGCCAAGGCACACAACCTGGCCAATGAGAGGAGTTACTACATAGTAACACTAAATGTGCTGTTGTTGTCTTAATGAGCTCTTTATTTTCACACCTAGTGAAATCCCTTGTACTTTTATATGGTTTGGGGAAAAACTTTAAGTGTAAATCTCCATTAAAAGTGTAAACTATATTATAAGCGTAAATTAAATGATGTTATTTTACATGGCTTTTTACAACACTACAACACTACTTGCAGTATTGTAGATGCTTTTATCTATAACACAAATACAACAATTTCACAGTCACATGTAATTTAGTACAGCTTATGTAGATTGACAATGAGGTACAATGTTGAAAACTAGAAGACTTGGAGATGATGTTGTCATAGTTAAAAACAGTCAAAAACATCGGACAGGCTCTTTAACGAACATAAGACATAAGAAAATCATAATGAGCTCTTCTTGGAAAGCAGCTGAAAAGAACAAACATATATATTCAAATGATAGCTTGGCTCAAGAAAATCAAGATATGAAAGTGATTCCCAGAACTGCTGCAAATGATTATACGGCACAACAGCTTGTTTTATTTAGTGAAATTATCGGAACAACTGGAGATACAAGTCCAACAGAGAGAGTAACGATCCAACATCACGCAACCTGTGTATGACTGCTTCATTCGTTTTTAGACAACACGTGTGTGCGGTCACAAACAATTCTAAATAAATGGACAAATACAAGTCATCCTTTTGGTATATTTCAACACTGCTGTGAAAGAAAATGTAAACATGTTTCTCCAAATGTTTTCATTTAGTGATGCAGTGTATGTAATTCTGCTGGGCACAAAATGCAAGCAAAGTAAATGAATGCCAGTTTGGTCCACTTTTGACTGATTTAAAAAAAAAAAAAAACCTGACTGACTGAAAAACAATTGTTTAATTCTTGGCTTAAATCTCAAAATTAACCTCAACAGTTGAAATTCAATGTAAAGCTGTAAAACAAAAATGCAAATGTCATAGCTATATATATCCCGAAACCTGTTGCCCTGAAAAATGTAAAACTTTAAACTCATCAACAGCTGTTTTAATAGTTTTACAAACTGATCATCGACACTGTTTAGAGCAAAGTTCGCCCATATTCAGTGCCAGTTTTCTACAACATTGTTGTAGATAAACAGAATTTTTTTACTGGCAGTTTTAAATAATCGTGAAGGTTAAATATTCGTCTAATCGACTGGCTTAGAAATTCAAAAGTATACATACATTTTAGTAATACTCAAAGTAATAATAATCACTTACTTCCAAAAGGGCCGGAGAAGGGAATGCTGGGAGATATCTGTACATCGTCTGCTGAGATTCTGCAGTATTCACATCTTGGATCTCCCTGAAAATACACATTGTCCACTTAAAAAAAAAAAACTACAGCTCAATAGGAAAAATATTACAATTATTATTTTATATTTAACAGCACATAAACATATACATATATATACACACACACACACACATATATACATATATATATATATATCACATACAAAGTAAGTTTTTGTTTGCATAAGTGTGTTCTGTGTATATTTATTATGTATACATAAATACACACACATACAGTATATACGTCTATATTTAAATTCGTATAATTTATATGATAAATATATTTAATAAATAAACAATCTATTTTTCTGAAATATATACATGCATGTGTGTGTATTTATATATACAGAATAAATATACACAGCACACATACACTTTTATTTTGGATGTGATTAATCAAGATTAATCATTTGACAGCACTAATATATATATATATACAGTGGCGGCTCCTGCCAATTCTCGCAGGGGGTGCAAATGTTTGCATGATTAATGAGGATAGGTCACCCATTCAATTGATAAATTAACGGCTAGTTAAAGATGTAAAGGAAACTGAACTACTATAGTATTAATTAAAAATAAACTGACTCTAACAATCAATCTCTTGCTCTCCTTATGTTTCTATATGCGTGTTAACACAATTCAGCAAAAAATGAAGACTGAAGCCAGGATGTGGTTTTCCAAAAAACTTTTTACTTCAATTTCAGTTTAATAAGAAATAATTGAAGTCCCATAAATCACTATTTACACAACTCACTTATATTGCACTGCTCATTTACAACATTACTCACTTATATTACACAGCTCATTTGTATTACACTTACACTGCTCACTTACATTACACTGCTCACTTTACACTGCTCACTTACATTACACTGCTCACTTACATCACATTACTCACTTACAGTGCTTACTTATATTACACTGCTCATTTACATCACATTACTCCCTTACATTAACTTACACTGCTCCCTTACATTACTCATTTACACTGCTCACATTACACTGCTTACTTACATTACACTGCTCACTTACATCACATTACTCACATTACATTACTCCCTTACATTAACTTACACTGCTCACTTACATTACTCATTTACACTGCTCACATTACACTGCTTACTTATATTACACTGCTCATTTACATCACATTACTCCCTTACATTAACTTACACTGCTCCCTTACATTACTCATTTACACTGCTCACATTACACTGCTTACTTATATTACACTGCTCACTTACATCACATTACTCACTTACATTACATTGCCCCCTTACATTACACTGCTTACTTACATCACATTGCTCACTTATATTACATTACACCTGTAGTTGTCCATGTGATGTCTGTCACGCTCTCCGGATGGAACAAAATGCAGGGGTAGCAGAATAGAGTGTTAGCTACTTCGCAGCCCGCTAGCCATTTTTTCCGCTCATACCACGTCCTCGAAAATCACCTACCCGGGAAAATCACCCGTTTATACAACTTCCCGCTCTTTGTAGATACTTGTTTGATATTTAAATTTGGTCTTGGTGTTCCGAATTCTTTAATTGCCAATTTATCCTTATTGCTACGACGACTGAATGGTATTTCTTTCAATGACACGATAGAATTCATCTGCGCTGAGGTAACGTTCGCCAAGATGTCGATCAAGTTCAACTGACAACTGAATTTGAGTTGGCAAACTTGGCATAGCTGTCCCCGTCTGTTTTTTTTTTTCTTTCTTTTTTTTTTCTTGTATGGAAGTCTATGAGAGCACTCGGGGCGATTCTCAGTCTGACAGAAATCACCCAAAAAGGGGCGGTACTACACAAAACGCTGATTGGACTACTTGGAGACAGAACAAACAGTGAAAGTTAGCGTAACACTGTGGTTGAATGTGAAAGAAAAAAAATCCCTCCCTCTCGCGCTTTAGTGGTGCGTCGCCCAATCGCCCTAATGGAGAAACCGCCCCTGTATATATATATATATATATATATTTTACGGTTTTAACTTAAATTTACAGTTAAATACCGTAATTTCATTAACTGACATAATGTTAATATACCAACCTATTGAAGTACTGAAATCTGTTTTGTACCTTTGTAATACACTGAAGAAACAAAATACTTATTCTGTCCTGCACTTATAAAAATATATAAACAAAAACGTGTACATATTACATTTTATTATATTTTCAAAGACTAAAAACTGTGTAAAACCTGGAGGTTTGAAGTACAGTGGCAAAGATTGATAAAGTTTTATAATTATATTTACAATTACAATTAATTAGTTTTTAGGGCCACACTGTGATCCTTATATATCCAATCATTCTGGTTCTAAATATGCTTGTCAAGAATTTTTTTTTTTTGTATATAAACTATAGTTACATTGAATAGCATTTTAAGTTGTCTTCTGTAAAACATGGTAAAACATTTAATAGTCTTTTTTTTTTAAGTATGAAATTGTATTATTTTTAATTATGAAGTGTATTAAACTTTCTTTTTGATTCCAACAACAACAACAAAAAAACATCTAGTGTGTGCACTATAATATTTACATACTATTGTTTTGGATTTTCGTAATATTGCCTTGTGAATCTAACATTAATGCTTTGCGGAACTGATAAAACAGCACCACTTATTCCTTACATGTTGATACAGTAAGCTGGAAGTCAAAATATGAAGTCTTACCCGGCGGATGCATTCAAGCATGCAGTTCTGAGGTCTGTAAGACATTTGTTCACCATAGGCACCAAGGAACAAACTGACCAGCAGGAGCAGATCCAGGGTCAGTGTGGGTGGCCACATCCCGCTCCCTTCACCTGTCTGAAGAACCCTGAAAACTGTCTTCGATCCCCAGCGCAGCTGTGTCCTCGAAGCAGATAAGCTGTCTCAGGTCTCGTGAAGAACTAAAGATCAGTTGAGTGAAAGCGGAAGGGGTGGAACGGTGGGGGAGGAGGTAGGCAAAGGGTTGGGAGTGAAAACAACAGCAGCTGAGGGAGTGGTGGCCTGGGGGAAAATAGTACAGCTGCAGAGGCTGTCAAAATCCATCAACTGTGCCACCAGGTATGCTTAACCTGATTTACTGTTTTAATACTGCTTTTTTGGCTCTAAACTCAACAGTGCAAATGGAATAATGACCATAATAACTCCACATTTTCCGGCAGCCAATGGCCAAAAACAACATTCTGCATTTGTATAAATAAGATTGGCATTCCCCGAACTGCGATTCCACAAAACACACCATGAGAGACTGATAGTCTATTGTTATATGTGGCTGTGCAACCTCGCATTTGATTTACAAAAGCATTGGTTTTATTCCAGGAAACTACAAATCTTTCAATACGTGAACAACAACAATCTTCAAAAAGCGATGGTAGTCGCGATGGAGCAATCATGAAATGATTCAACAGGAAACCTCACAAAGGTACATATATGAGGAATTTATTTTTGAATAGGATTCAAGAAATGACTGAAACACTCATGACGCTATTTACAATCAAGAAGGAGAACGTCAGGTTAGTTCTGACGATGAACGCTTGACAGAATGTTCACAATCGGCCTTATCTTCATACAATAAAACCGTGGGTCCAAACAGTTATAGATACTCAAAAATGCTACGCAAGATAAAGCATTTTGCTGCCAGGTGTCCATAAAACCAACACCACAGCAAGATGGTTCAGGAACTCTGCAAATCTTGTAGATTTGACATCTCACCGAATCTGAAAAGCAATGCAAAATTGGATGTAAACATGCTATGAATCCAACCACAGCATTTTTTTAACCCCAGAAGAGCCATAACATCGCCATGATTTATTTGTATTCTGCCGACATCTTTTTTTCATCAATCAAAATCCGTTTTAGCTAGTCCTGGAACACATCAGCGTTTGGTTTTGGTTAGGACCATGTCAGACCATGTCACGATCATGCACGTCAAGTTCACAAAGCTTCTTTCATATGGTTCTGCTACTGAACAAAAAGCTGCAGGAAACTTGTATTAATTCCAGACATGTATTATGGCGATTTCAACCATGACCGGCCTGCAGATACTCACAGTGTATTTGTCCCATTTTTTTTCAGGATCGTAAGGCTCCCAGCGGCTGGCAGGGAAGATGTGTTTGTTTTTTTCATACCAGCTCCTCAGCACCACTTTTCCCGCATGAGACTAGACAAACAAAGAAACACAAAGAGCTTTGGAAAAATAAGCCAAGAAACATTGTGTTTGAGTTCTCAGGCTGAAACTTCAGTCAGTGAACTGAGGAAAAAAAAAAGACATGTCGCTGATTGTCCAAGGTTTGTGGCATCAAATCTTTGAAAGACTTGAAAGAGCTGTTCAACATATCCTGGAGCACAAATGGTGGTTTTCTACAAGAATTCGATCCAATTTCACATTCACCTGCCCTAAAAACATCACATAAAAACAAACAAGTAGGTCTCTTCCTGTCAATTTGGGTGGTTCTTGTCCAAAACGTGGATCAGACTTTATGCTGATAGTCAAAAATCACCTTACCTCATCCTTCTCAACTGTGGCATCGTTCACCAGCCGAATATCATCATGCACATCAAAACTGAAAAGGGGCCCTGAGGAGAACCAGGAAAGCCTCATTTCAGTGCCATAAACAGAGATACAACACAAAAAGTAGCAGGCTTATGTTAAATTTAATAACTGTTATCCTAAAAACATCAGAGCAGACATGTGTGAAAACAAAAGCCACATGGGAGCCTGTCAAACCAAATGTGGAGGATAAAGTAGGAACTTACCACTTTTGCCTCTTGCTTTAGTCACAATGAAATCATAGAAACTGTGATGCTGGAAGAAAAGCAGGTTTTTAGTCAATGAGAGATGTTTTCTAAAAGGACAAATTAACTATAATCTGTGATTTACTACCGCTTGTCTTTGTGATCAGTTAAACACGTAATAAAATGCCCTTAAACCGTTGTAAAGCAGGTTGCGTCGTAAAAAAAAATGTGTAGTTGTGCTTGTCACAAATTCTGACATTCTAACAATGTGATGCACAAGCGCTGCGCATGGTAAACAATGACGTATCTTCCAATGATTTAGGAGTGACTCAACTGGTCTTACATAAGAGAAGATTTAGAAGAATAAACATTGAAGCACTTGAAGATTTGATCCTTTAAAAGCATTAGTTTTGTTGTGGAAACTTTACTCACATGTGGGATTATCAAATCCTCTTTAATGTACATTAGATGCTCCACTCCTGCTGACCTGAAGGACACAAAACAGACTCTGATATTACCTCATAGTTCAAAATTAAAAGCACTAAAACATGTATGTATAACATAAGAAGCCTTCATTGCTCAAAGAGTGTCTGGATTTTGTCTATAGAGTTTTAATTCAACACCAGCTACGTGACACGAACAGCACACTTGAAAATTAAATATGACATGCTTTCTGCATGCATTTGAAATTCAAGGAAACCAAATTAGACCGAGCACACATTCAATATTTACTCACTGTAAGTTACACTGCATTTTAACTGGAGCATGTCCCTCTTTAATGGATTTACACAAAGGCGATTAACACCTCCATCAATTTAAAATAAATAATATTCTGATTAGACAGAATTTGTCTTTTTGTCTGGCATTTATATACAACATTTTATCAACACAGAATCAAAGCCTACACTATTCTAAAGTGTTTTTAAGCGATTTTAGGAAAGATTTTAGGAAACTCTAAAACGGACTAGCTGGACTAACTCTTGTGTATTAAAACTAATAAAGTGTTTTAATAGCAGGTGGAAATGAATGTGTTTACCTCAGCTCACTGAAGTCTTTTCTCAAAACTTCCAGGGCTCTTTGAAGAAACTGTTGAATTGTGCTGCCTTTCTTCATCTACACAAACACACACAAAATGTGTATTAAATGTTAACATTTTAATAATACAGAACATGCATTAGAACATGTTTGTCCAATTTGCACACGCAACATAGTAACAACAATGTAACTCATTTTGGGTGTGGCTTGTAGTTAGAACATTTGATAACCTGCATTTACCTTGACAGTTTTTCGATGCCCTGAGCCATCCCAGTAGCTGAAAGTGATTTCAATTTCTTCACCTAAAAAGAGCCGAAGAACAGGTTTGTAGGAAGCTTCTTTAGGCTGGTGGTTGCATGAGGATTTATGAGCTACTTCATAACTAGACAAGTCAAAATTAAATTAGGAATGAGTCTATAGATTCAGTTGCACCCTTGGCCAGGTTCACTGATATCAAACAAAAGATAATATCCATAACAGCACTTTGTGATCTGCATATCTTACTTTTGATCTTCTCTTGTTTTCTTTCCCACTCCTGCCTGAGTTCCTCTCTTAAACGATTTTCTTCTTCCTGAAACACACATTTTACGCAGTTACACAAACACAAAGTTTTTGGTACGTTTTCCCAAAATCAACTGTATTTTTCAAATGCTTATAACTACTAAATACAACTTTTGCCAATTTTTAGGAGTTCACGAATATATAGTCATGGACTGCAAGCATCAAAACTTGTGGGGGATTTAAAACTAAAAACTCTTAAAATGTCTTTAACAAAAAAAAACTTAATTGACAGCATGATGCGATTACAAAATAAATTAATTCAACATTTTTATTTTTGAGGCAGTTGATACACACACATACATAGTGTAATCATAACGGTCAAGATCATCAAATCACTTTTTTTTAAATATCCAGTGTATGTTTAACGTTTGAAAACAATCCAAAGCTGTGGGTAAGCTCTTTATTAGACTCACTGACACATATACGACATGCATAGGTCTTATACCCACAGTACAAATGCAAACAAAAGCTTTGTGACAAATTACAGGTAATCTGTCAGACCTAAGGATCTTGCTATTCACCACACCTCAGTGGAAACTGCCTGGAAATGAGCCAAAGAATGCAAACAAACAATCACACCAGCAAAACTACAATTCTTGTGGCATTTAACATTGGTACACTCTTAAAAATAAAGGTGCTTCACGATGCCATAGATTCGAAAAAAATTATCTTTGTATGGAAGTCTATGAGAGCACTCGGGGCGATTCTCAGTCTGACAGAAATCACCCAAAAAGGGGCGGTACTACACAAAACGCTGATTGGACTACTTGGAGACAGAACAAACAGTGAAAGTTAGCGTAACACTGTGGTTGAATGTGAAAGAAAAAAAATCCCTCCCTCTCGCGCTTTAGTGGTGCGTCGCCCAATCGCCCTAATGGAGAAACCGCCCCTGTATATATATATATATATATATATATTTTAGGTCACTATATATATTTTAGGTCACTAATTACATTAGCAAATGTGTGACATGACCTTGTGAACTGCTTTGTACAAAAGGCCAGATTTCTTGCTTCCAACTTGTTTTACTTAAATTCTTATGCTGATAATGTAATAGCAATTTAAAAAAACCAGAGTGGACTTTGATGTACATCTTTGTAAGCGTTTAAACATACAAATACTATGATTCATGCTATAATCATCAAACTAAATAAGGCTGAAAGATACTATAAAAAACCCTCACATGATCTTCATGATCTGAACAAACCAGAAAACCAGGTACAGAAGACAGGCTTATAAATCTTCAAGAAGCATGACAAATGAGTCTATGGCATCTCTTGAAGAACCTTTTGAAGCACCTTTATTTTTAAGAGTGTACACGGCTTTGTGATAAAGCTCAGAATGTCTCGATGTGTGCTGACACCTGAGCAACGTCTCTGCAAAAACAGCATACTTTTATTTGATGTATAGCCCAGAGGAGGCTCGTGTTAAACCAACAGTCTTGTATAACTGCATTCAGATCCTTAAAAAGAGGTCTTTAGGACAATCACTCCACACTCTTTGACACGGAGAGCAAATGCAATTATTTTAGAGTGTTTTTTTGCTTCTCTAATCTATTTGTTGAATATAAACTAGGTATACATGTGTTAACCGAGCCTCAAGAGCAGGATATTTACCTCTCTGTCCCTGTCTGGCAGGAAACTGGTGTCCACATCTGGGTTCTTCCCTAGTTTTTTCTTCTTTGCAGGTATGCCTGTTAAACACAAGAGTACAGCATTCAAAAAGTTATTAGTGTAAAAAATTAAAATATATAATAAAAAAAAGACTTAAAATTACTTCATATGTGTTGATTCTGCCATGGAATAACTAATAAACGCACTTTTACATATTGGCTGCACAACTTTAAAATACTGGTTAGGAATTAAGCATCTAAGAGTCATTAGCAGTGCTGAATATGCAGGCCTTTTCGCAATTTTTGTGCTGGTTTTAGGGTAAACTAAGCAGGATGCAATTAAACATGGTATGGGACCATGGACGTCTGCACTTATTGATAGCTTACTGAAACATTTATTAGAAAGTTTAACAGTTTTGCAGACAGCTGTTCCACTTCTGTGGAAAACTGCAAAGTAAAATATCATACAAATCTCCTCCTCAGTTTCCTCTTCCTCCTCTTCTTCCGCTCCTTCATCTGGATTGAAGGATAAACTGGCAATCTTCCTTTTCTGCTCTTCCTTTCTTTTCTTCTCCTTCTGTTTCTCAAGCTTCCTACAAGAACAGACCAAATATGAACCTTTAAGATCAAACTTTATACAGATTTTAAAGGAAAAAGAAACAAAAAAGCAGGATGCAGGCAGGATTTCATGCAAGAATATTCAACAACCTAGTCTTAAGCTTAAAAGGCAGTTAAATTACTTAATCTGACCTGACATAATATTTATCTGGGCAGGGCTGAGGCTGAGAATTAAATACAAAAAAAAAATAAAAATGAATACAGCTTATAAAGACCAGCAGAAGATTGGGTCTGCCAAATTTCAAGCATAATTACTGTACTAGGTGGGTGCAGCTAAAACAAACTGAGACATGGCTAATGGAAAACACAGACAAGCTGGCTGAACATAGAGAAATCTGTCAACAGCCCCTGACTTCACTACATTTTGTAGATTCCCACAGTGACAATATTGCAATAGGTAATTGGATGAGAGCTACTTCAAAAATATGGAATAAGGTACAGTCACCGATGATGATTTCCTGCTGATTACAGAACCAGCATTACTATCAAAACGCGCATGACAATTGCATTCGATTAATTGTGCAGCCCTAGTCACCATTGAAATTCGTACTTCTGCTATATCCAGTAGAAATACAAAAAATCAATTTTTACTAGCAAAATTTGCCACAGGTTTTAAAAAATGCTAAAACTATGGGCTTAACTTTATATAGCAATTAATTAGCAAAGACCATTTTAGCAAAAAGCAAAGTTCAAATGAATGAAAACAGCTTACAGCTGTAGCTCTTTTGACTGCTCCTTCTTGGCAAGCTGTTTCTCTCGTTCTTTGACCAGAGCTTCCTGCTTCGCTTTCATGTCATTCAGTGTCACCAGACCTGCAGAGAACAACATCCTTCACTCATACCGTGATTTAATATAGGGTTAATTTGGCTATTTTTCCCCAGTCATCATCTCAAAGACAAAAAGAGTCCCAATTTACAAGAATTCCCCCTACAATTTAAGTTTACTGGCTTAAATTAAATAAATCCACAGGAGGATGTGCGTTATGACTAGGGTTGCCAAATTCAGATGGGACATTTAATACAATTAAAGCATGTTGCAGTGTTATGACAATCTAACGATAATCAAATGACAGCTCTAGTCATAACAAGAATGTCTAACATTTTCTGATCAACTACAAGCGGCCTCACTGAGATAGATAAACCCGCTACAGAAGTAGATCCGTAGTAAGTCATTGCATTTCTAATATTCACTTACCAACAGTGCTGGACTTGAGCTCTTGCTCCACAGCATCATAATGAGCTGAGAACTTTTTATCAATGTTGGACTTCACCATATTGTCCTGGAAAGGAAAAGGTTAAGGTCAGTTAGTGGGGATGTTGTTATAAAGTATAAGCTAGAGTGACTTGGGCTGTATATGAAGATTGTTGTAATGATACTTTATAAAAGCACTCAAATCATCAGAAATCATTACATAAAGCTTACAGATCAGCAGTTGACATACAGTAGACCCAAAACAGTATATAACTTTTTTTATCATTTAAAAGTTGCTTCAAAGGGACATTTGAAATGTGTCTTAAGAGTAAAAAATGTATGATTTAATGAATTATTATTTAAATATTTTGGTATATAATTTATTGCTATCATAAATTACTATGTATACTACTCGGGGCCGCTATATATATATATATATATATATAATATATTTGCGAACACATATGACTACAATTTTACAAGCACATGATTTTACTATAGTCTTTATTTATTTATTGGAGAAATTTGTGCATATTTATACTCAGTGTTGACGTATCTTCTACATGCACTTTTTAAAAATGTTATTTTAAAGAAGAATCCAAAAGTTATATTTGCCATGGTAATGAGGAGCCAGTCATGTTTTAACATATATTACCTTCATTCTTATACTACAATAATTAAGTCATCATAACGTGGCATCATATCATAAAATGGACTTCATGCTGTCTAGAATGGGCAAGGGAAATAATCGTGTTATGGGTTAAACCATTTATATACTAAACTTTACATGGCATTACACTTTTGAGGGAAGCTTGCAGCTATTTGTAGCAGGAATGCGGTCAGAACGGGTTGAATAGCCAGTGTGTTTATATGTTGTGGTTGTGTTTGTTATTCTGGCTCACTTGCCTCTGCTATCTTCTGTTTGAGCTGCTCGAGCTGTTCTCGCTCTCTTTCTCTCTTCTTCATGAGCTGCATCGCTCTCCCCGCTTCACTTGCCGCTCCTTTATACTGCGCCATTGCAGCTCTTTTACAAGATATTTAGAAAAGAAATAAAAACACTCAAAAAAAAAAAAGCGAAATAACACCTGAGTTCAGTCAATAAACAAACGAGAAACTTCTCGACTGAAGCAGGCGGTTGTGGGTAATTACCATAGTACTGCTTCCGGTTGATGCGCGAAATAACTGCATTCCAAAGTAAAAGTCTTCCCAGTTGCTTGCCTAAAATAAATATTACATTATTATGGTTTTATGATTATGGTATTTCAAATATATCTTCATTTTAAATGTGCAAATCACTTAAAAATAGTAGATTTGTTTATTTGACATAGAAAATCAGCATTACGTATACAAACACAAGAGGTATATTTCCTGAAATATGTGTTATTCGTTTTATTACTATTTTATGAAATTAAACTATTTAATTATTGAATTAAGTTTTTCCTCAGATAAACTTCCAGGGGACTTTTACTGAACAAATGCCCTTTGGTAGTGAGACTCGAGCGACTCTGAAATCGATTCGCATCCCTGGATTGAGTGAGGAGGGGTGATTTGGATGGAGATGAAGGCGGTGGTGTTCTGTACCGGGCTTATGCTTCTATTTGCGTGGCTTTCTCCAAGCCAAGCCATTTATTTCCATATCGGAGAGACGGAGAAGAAATGTTTTATTGAAGAAATACCCGACGAAACCATGGTGATCGGTACGTCCATTGTCAAATCGGCTCTCTGCGATCGGTTAGCTTTGTCGGCTAGTTGATTCATCCATCTGGATCATATACCAGTAGAGTAATTCACCGTTTGTCTTATTTAAAACACTTAACATGAAGACAGCTGATGTAAAATCAGATTTAAGTTTGGATGTGCTTATCTGTGTCCATCTGTCCAAATAAAGGAGGGCTTTTAGTAGATCAGCATGATCAAGGATGTGGCAGGTGCAGCATCCTGCTTGGGTTCCTGAGATACAGGTGCAACCAGTTCCATCCCGCCAGCAGCTTCAGCCTGCATTTACCGTTTGCTTATAGTAATCAGAAATAACAGTTATGTTGACAGGAGACAGTGCATGTGCATTTATACTATAATATACTTACTGTATACTGCGATAATGATCAGATTAATGTTATTCTAATAAATATGTTTGTACATTTTTAAAGGATTAATTCACTCACTCACTCCAGTCCATCAATTAATGACTTGTGAAGTGAAAAGAATTGTAATTTTATTTTTAACCTATTCCTTTAATGGTGCTGGTAACATACAGTGTTGACCTTTCTTTGTGACTTTTTAGGGAGATACAGAACACAGCTGTGGGACAAACAGGCTGGCTCTTTTCTTCCATCCACCCCTGGTTTAGGCATGCATGTAGAAATCAGAGATCCTGATGCCAAGGTAGCCTTTCTATTTTCTACAAACTTTCTATTACTCCTTTCTATTACTCTACAAACTGTATTTGTAGTATAACAGTTAATAGGGTTATATTTGGCAATAATATATTTGGATACCAATACACTTCTGTTAAGTAGTTTTCACATTCTCTCTGTTTCTCAGATCATCCTGTCCCGTCAGTACGGCTCAGATGGCCGTTTCACCTTCACGTCCCACACACCAGGCGAGCATCAAATCTGCCTCCACTCCAACTCCAGCAAGATGGCGCTGTTTGCTGGGGGGAAACTGGTATGACTAAAAACCATGATAGTGCAAATAGATGTAGAGAACTCAAAATGTTTCATAGTTGCAGTCCAAAACATTCATCAGACATTTTTGAGTAATATGCTGTGTAATGTGTAGTCTCTATATTTACTAAATTACATCAGATTTCAAATGTAGTGATATTTTGGTTATATATATATATATTTCTATTTGCCGTTAATTTATTTTTATTTCGGTATTAGTTTTAGTAATTTTACTAAAACTGAAATAAAAATAAATTCAACTTAAACCTATTTTATTTCAGTTAATTGCTAATGCAACATTTCTCTTCTAATATTTCTATTTTATTTTATTTCAGCTTTAGCTCAATGAAGGTTTGGTTAACAATCAAATATATTATTAATATGGCTTTTTTTTCTCACATTTTTACGTTTTTGAAATTACTTCTATATCAGTATAGTAATTTTATAGATGATAAAAAAACAATTACAATATCTAGTTCAATATAATTCAGTAAGCCTATAAGTGAACATAAACATGTGAAACCTTTTATCATGCTGTCCTACAGAGAGTCCATTTGGACATTCAGGTTGGTGAACACACCAACAACTACCCGGAGATCGCAGCCAAAGACAAACTGACCGAGCTGCAGCTGAGGGTCCGACAGCTTCTGGACCAGGTGGAACAGATCCAGAAAGAGCAGAACTACCAGCGGGTGAGTTTCAGCTGCAGAAACATGTTTTAGGTTACGGTACCGTGAGGTGCTGTTGGCTGACCCACCAACTTAAGCCATTTAATCTGCGCAATTGCTGAAAGCAGGTACCTGTTCAGGATGTTTAACATTTTTGGCATCTGTCTTGTCAATATTAGTACTGTATCTAGTGGGGTTTTTCTAAGTAACTAAAACTAAGACCATAAAAACATTTCATTACTTGAAATAGAATATACTTGAAATAAAAGATAAAAATTCCCAAGGCAACATTTCTTATTTTCATTTAGTTTAACTTGATGTACTAAAACAAAACTACAACTGAAATAAAAATTAATATAAACTATATAGGGATATATACAAATGTATATATTTACAATACAAAAGTATATATAACTAACTAATAAAAAACAGCAGAATTACTAACTTTAAATACTATTACCATGAAAAGGTAAAATATAAACTAAGACCATAAAAAACATTTTTGTTATTTAAAATAGAATAAAATAAAATATAAACATTTATTATTTACATTTACTTTAACCTGATGTACTTAAATTGAAATAAAATGTAATAAAGCTATATAGAAATAAAAAAAACAGAAACTAATAAAAATGACTAAAACTTGAAATTAAATGAAAATGTAAGTAGAAAATATAAACTAAGACAATACACAATTGTTACTTGAAATATAATAAATATTAAATAAAATAAACATTTATTTTCATTTAGTTTGACTATGTACTAAAATAAAATCTGAAATAAGTTGCTAAAAACAAAGACATAATTTACTAAACCGAAACTAATAAAAATGGTAAAAACAGCAAAATTACTAAAATAATAATGTGAAAATATAAAAATAGTTACAAATGAACTAATACAAGTATTTCAATGTTACTAAAATAACACTGCCATCTAGTTGTCAGTGTTATATCGTCCAGCATCCGTATGGGATGTATTGCGCTCAGTGTTTTTTGTTTTTCCCCATAGTACCGTGAGGAGCGTTTCCGTATGACGAGCGAGAGCACAAACCAGCGCGTTCTGTGGTGGTCTATCGCTCAGACCATCATCCTCATCATCACAGGAATCTGGCAAATGAGACATCTCAAGAGCTTCTTTGAGGCCAAAAAGCTGGTGTGAAGATCAGACGGCATCACAGAGACAATAACTCAAGTAACATTCATTGCCATTATGGTTTTCAAGCATGGAAATACTCAGTGCTTCATTTCAATTTTTTCTTTTTAAATTCAATTCGGTACAACTTTATCTTGAACAGATAAATTCAGACACAATGAGCTTAAACAGGCAGAATATTAACAACCCTTAATTCTGCTGTATGACTGATAACCCTTTATCATACATGTCTAGCATCTAGAACATTGTTCATTTGACTAAAATGTGTGATAGGAAAATGTTATGCTTTTAAAGTGGTGATCATTATGGGTGCATGGAAACTACTGTTGATTTCAAGGTTGTATTACTGATAAATGTGAAGAATCAAGCCAGCTAATCATTTCAGCATTTTTCAACATTTTTAATATGTATATATTGAGGTATTTTGAAGATTTTGACAAATTTGTGGCTTTGTTTTCATATTCTGTCTGTCTCGGGCTCTCTAATAGTTTTGATGTTCATGATTTTGAGGGGAAATGATTCAAGCTAATTGACTATAGCTTGCATAGTAGCGGTTAAGACCAACAAAAATACATATTGTAAGAATTTTCTTAAGTGTTTTACAAAATATGATTTTTGTTGTTGTTCTCAATGTTCTGTTTCATGCTTTATTTATTAACTGCATTGACCACATTTAAACATACAGGAATGTCTGTAATGAAAACTTTCGGTTTTCTGGGTTCTTAAATTTCAAGAATATATGTTGTTTATAGGATCTTTGGAAAATTTTGTACTGGCTTCTTACAAGTACCAATTTTAAAAATGCTGGTTTGCATGATGCACAAATCCTCCATATAATGAGACAATTTGAAGGTTATTTCTAGGCTAACACAGCTGTATTCTCAAGTGTAATTCAAGCTTTGTAATAAACTGTTCATCAGTGTGCATGCAGATACTTAACTGTACACTTGGTACTCAGTCGTTACATTGTTTGACACATCATTCATAAACACTGTCTTAGTTTCTGTCTATTTTAGTTGTTGTTTCTTTTAATTAAATGTGTTTTAAATTTACAGATGCACTCTGTCTTCATGAATGAGCAGCATAATGTACTTAATTTACAATAGAATTTAAAAAAATGTTTTCTTTTATATATAAATATACTACCATTCAAAACTTTGGGGTCAGTAAGGATAAAAAAAAAAAAGATTAAAACAGATTAATACTTTTATTCACCAAGTGTGTTTTATGGATTCTCGTCCGTGAAATGCGCCACTTCCGGTATTTTGCCGGTTAGTCGACGCGAGCAAAATGAAGTCGACGAATCGCGACAGCCCTAAATTTTTCACAATATTAGTTCTTACTCTTTTTTTTAATCAAATAAATGCAGCCTTGGTGAGCACAAGACACTTGCTTTAGAAACAAAATCTCACCAATTACTTTGTATATCATTGTATATAGCAGTCAACATTTGAAGTGGATCAAAACCTTTCATCAACGTTGTTCTAAAACCTAAAACCAAAATGCTTTCTTATCTTAGGACAACTTTGATTAATTTTTTTTGATCCACTTCAAATGTTGACTACTGTATTATATATGAATTTAAAAAAAATGAAATACTAAAGTTGACCACTGCATTTATACATGCCACACAAACCATTTAATTTTCTATTGTTTTATTGCTCAACTCACCTAAATCAATTAAATATTTATGTACAACTATCTATTGCCAAGATACAAGATGTTATTTGACACACTGGTTGAAAAAAAAGGATGTTAATTTCTGTTTTGGCTTTTCACAACTGACCACAAACAGTAAACCCATTAGTTTGACACAATACTGTATTAATCCAAAATTTAAAAACAAAAATATGTGATTGCCTCTAAACAAGCTTCTAAGAATCAGGATAATCTCTCTCTTGCATAGTAAAAGGCCTCAGACCCTCAGCTTCTCTGAAACACCATGTAACTGCTTGTCTCTGTATTAATTGCACCTTCATTTCTGTGTTCTGTACTGAAACCAGTGTGACTGTTGATCAGTGCTAAATTCAACACCAGTGTTTCGGGTGATATGAAATCCTACATGAATTACATGACAACACCACACACACATCAGTCCCGACACATCTCACTGACACAGCTTTCACAGCAACAAGTGGAGACTGAAGCAATACTATAAATGTGCTATTTATATCATTTACATTTATGATTTTGAACAAAATACACTGACACACTATAAACTACACCTACACACTTCTAGGAACAAAAATAATACATCCTATTGTTTTGATTAGATGTTAAAATGGGTTACTAACATCTAATCTAACGGAAAAGACCAATTATACCTCACGTCTACGATTGGCACAACGAAACCGAGCATGTGCTGACCCTGTATCTGTTAAAAATAATCGCAAAACCAAGCTTAAAGGGATAGTTCACCCGAAAATGAAAATTTGATGTTTATCTGCTTACCCCCAGGGCATCCAAGATGTAGGTGACTTTGTTTCTTCAGTAGAACACAAACGAAGATTTTTAAGTCAAACCGTTGCAGTCTGTCAGTCATATAATGCAAGTGGATGGGAATCACGGCTTTGAGAGTCAAAAAAACATACTCAAACAAAACCAAATTAAACCCTGCGGCTCGTGACGATACATTGATGTGTAAAGACACGAAATGATCGGTCTGTGCAAGAAACTGAACAGTATTTATATAATTCTTTACCTGATTTTCACCGCAATGTCCAAACTGTCCTGAGCGCGTTCAACAGCCGGCACGTGACGCGTCTTCTTCTTGCTTTACGGCAGACCATTTAGTGGACCTCTATCTACAATCTCAATTAGGAGTGTCAATGGTCCATTTGAGAGATAGGTTGCGGTAATGCACTTATAAGTCTGCGATCCGCCGTAAAGCAAGAAGACGACGCGTCAGATGCCGGCTGTTGAACACGCTCAGGACGCACTCAGGACAGTTCGGACATTGCGGTGAAAATCAGAGGTAAAAAATGATATAAATACTGTTCAGTTTCTTGCACAGACCGATCATTTCGTGTCTTTACACATCAATGTATCGTCACGAGCCACGGGGTTTAATTCGGTTTTGTTTGTGTATGTGTTTTTGACTCTCAAAGCCGTGATTCCCATCCACTTGCATTATATGACTGACAGACTGCAACGGTTTGACTTAAAAATCTTCGTTTGTGTTCTACTGAAGAAACAAAGTCACCTACATCTTGGATGCCCTGGGGGTAAGCAGATAAACATCAAATTTTCATTTTTCGGTGAACTATCCCTTTAAGTAATTTACAGAGGGCTGGAGGACACTTCTGGAGAGCTTTCGACAATAAAAACACCTTCAGGAAGTAAATTTAGTATTCCAGTTATTAAATCACACTTCTTTCTAGTTCTTATGCCTAGATAGTCATAAAGGATTTTATGACTATTTTATGACGATTTTATGTCTTAACTATAGTCATCAGCATTAGTTAAGACATATTAAAGGCCCTTGTCTGGTGAATGATGAGCCCAGTCATTGGGAAGAAGCCCAAGAGGTCCCACATTTAGTTCAGTAACCTTTTTTCCCATCATTCATTGCTCTGTGACCGTGAGCCGGTCCATTTTTCTGGCTGCTTCCTCACAGACGACCTTTGGCTTTCTCTCTGGACTGGGGCTCGGGGTGTTGGGGTATTCTCGGGTGCCAAAAATAGTGCTGCCGACACGTACGTTTGTAGAGCCAACCTCGATCTAATTGTTAAAACAATACAAATTGAACAAAATCGACTTTGCAATGAAATGAAAGTACAATTGAAATGAAGCAACACTTACCGCATGTTCAAAGTCAGTAGACATGCCCATACTGAGCTCAACCTGCTCTACTGGGATCTTCAGACTTTCACAGACTTCCTCACGACGTTTCAAAAGCATCTAGACACCACATAGATTCATTTACATACTTGCATTTCACATGCTATGTTGTAACATCCTTTTAGCATGACGTGAGTTTGAGTAAGTTTCTACAAAATTATTAAGCAGCAAAAGTGTTGTCAACATTGATGATAACAAGAAACGTTAGAATGGTTTCTAAAAGAACATGTGACACTGAAGACTAAAGTAATGACGCTAAAAATCCAGCTTTGTCATCACAGAAATAAATATTATTTAAAAAAACAAATTAAACAAATAAATATTATTTAAATTTTAATATATTTTGCAATATTGCTGTATTTAATAATATAAATGCATCCTTGGTGAGCATAAGACACTTCTTTTGAAAAAATTCAGAGAAATTTCAGAGACTTCAAATATATGCAAGGTCAGCTGATTTGACGCACCTGGAAATCGGGGTTGGGGCCTTCGCTGAGGTCGTAACCGTAACGGCCAATCGTCATGAGCCCGGCGAAGTCAAGAGCAGGACACTGAGACACAATGTGTTTTACCATGTTTACAGTCTCATCGGGAGGCAGGCCATGTTTACCTGATGAAACACGTCCAAGAGAGACGATCATGCTGAGGTTTCAGAAAAACAGTCATCTGATACACTGAGAAAAGATTTGATGATGCTTAACTGTTTTTGTTAGACATGTGCCCACTGTGACATTCACATCCTGTTCGAAAGTGAATCAAACAACATCCGAACCTTTGATATGGGCTTTTGCAACAAAATTGCATAAAACATCTGAAACCCAGTATGATGCTCCCAACTGTGAATCTTTAGATTTCACAAACATCTAATAAAATACAAAGCATCGCAAGTGATTTCGTAACAATATAAGCATGCAAAGGACATTTCATTTGTACAGTACTACTGACTAATGTCTCATTAAGAGTTCAAATGGGTTTTTGCAACCCATTTTGGGTTTTAATAATGTGCCTGAAAGTAAGAAAGTTGTATGTGCTGTGACATGTTGAGAAAAATATGAAAAATAGGCTTGAGCAACAATGAAAGATAAAATTTTGTAAGATTCGATACTCCAAATCACACAAAATTCTTGATTTTAATTCTCATAAAATAGCAAAATACTGTTATGTAGATTTTGATATGAATTTGTAAAATTTCCACAGCTGATGATTTGGGTGAAGAATACTCACTTTCCTCTCCGCTGGTGTTGATCTGAACCATAATCTTTAACCGCTGTGTGTTTGCAGCTCTCATTTTTTGCCACGAGCTGTTGACTTTTTCAGCCAGTTTCACAGAGTCAATTGTCTCTACCATATACAGGTTTGAGACACCTATGATTGAATTAAATTAATGTGGGTTAATTCAGAATAAAACAGAAATAAAGTCCTAAACCTATCACTCTGTCTAACATGACTAAGTAGTTACTGTCAATCTAGTATTTAAAGTCAAGCTAAATGTAAAACTGCTTTGCTCACCCAAGAGTTTGTTGACATTATTCTTTTGCAGATGACCGATGAAATGCCATTTTATTTCAGGACATGATGAGACAACCTACAAAGATGTTTTGCATTGATCAAGACATTTGATCAAAAACAACTAAACAAATACATTTCAATTTGTCTGACTTCATACCAGGGGATGGGAAGCTTTCTCAACAAGTTCATTTACCTGCGGAAAAAGGGGATATTTAATACGAAATACGTGACCAAGCTTCAAAACATGCATACTTATTTATTTACTCACATAATTCTCTCCAAAGTTTCGTTGTCCATGTTTGTAAGCCTCCACCACCATCTCTGGTGGTTTAGTCTTACTAACCGCAACCAGACGAGGGGCTATACATGGTAACGTCTGCAAGAGAAAAGTGAAATACTGTCACTAAGCTTATTGCTTAGTGTTTAAGAGCAGCGTCGGAAATAAACTTTTTCTTAATACAATTTTTGCCCCACTAGAATAGATTCTGGGGACAATAGTATTGTAAAATGATAAAATATTTCATGTTAAATATTGCTACTTAATATACAGTATATACAGATAATACAACATATACAGTGGTGGCCAAAATTATTAGAACACTAGTATTTTCACTGGCTAAAAATTGTTTTAAGTCAGTTCTTTCTTTCTTTTGCTGTAGTGTGTCCGTAGGAAATATCAGTTTACATTTCCAAACATTCATTT